GTGGTTGTAAATGTGTGGTGTTGTTTCTGAGGCCTCTGTTCTGTTCCATTGGTCTATATTTCTGTTTTGGTACCAGTACCATGCTGTTGTGATTACCGTATGCTTGTAATATAGTTTGAAGTCAGGTAGCAGATGCCTCCAGCTTTGTTCTTTTTGCTTAGGATTGTCTTGGCTATGTGGGCCCCTTTTTGGTTCCATATGAAGTTTAAGGTGGTCTTTACTGGTTCTGTGAAGAAGGTCGATGATAGCTAGATGGGGATAGCACTGAACCTATAAATTACTTTAGGTGGTGTGGCCGTTTTCACAATATTGATTCTTCCTAACCATCAGCATGGAATGTTTCTCCATCTGTTTGTGTCCTCTCTTATTTCCTTGAGCAGTGTTTTGTAGTTCTCCTTTAGGAGGTCCTTTACATCGTTTGTTAGTTGTATTCCTAGGTATTTTATTCTCTTTGTGGCTTTTATGAATGGGAGTTCACTCCTGATTTGGCTGTTTGTCTGTTATTGGTGTATAGGAATGCTTGTGATTTCTGCACATTGATTTTGTATGCTGAGACTTTGCTGAAGTTTCTTATCAGCTTAAGGAGATTTGGGGCTGCGACGATGGGGTCTTCTAAATATACAATCATGTCATCTGCAAATAAAGACAATTTGACTTCCTCTTTTCCGAATTGAATACACTGTATTTTTTTTCCTTGCCTGATGGCTCTGGCTGGAACTTACAATACTCTATTGAATAGAAATGCTGAGAGAGGGCATCTCATCTAGTGCCAGTTTTCAAAGGGAATGATTCCAGTTTTTGCCTGTTTAGTATGATATTCGCGATGGGTCTGTTGTGAATAGCTTTTATTGTTTTGAAATATGTTCCTTCAACACCTAGTTTATTGAGAGTTTTTAGCATAAAGGGCTGCTGAATTTTGTTGAAGGCCTTCTCTGCATCTGAGATGATCATGTAGTTTTTGTCTTTGGTTCTGTTTATATGATCGATTACGTTTACAGGTTTGCGTATGTTGAACCAGTCTTGCATCCCCAGGATGAAGCCTACTTGATAGTGATGGATAAGTTTTTGATATGCTGCTGCATTCAGTTTGTCGGTATTTTATTGGAGATTTTTGCATTGACGTTCATCATGGATATTGGCCTGAAGTTTTCTTTTTTTGTTGAGTCTCTTCCAGGTTTTGGTATCAGGATGATTTTGGTCTCATAAAATGATTTGGGAAGGACTCCCTCTTTTTGTATTGTTTGAAATAGTTTCAGAAAGAATGGTACCAGCTCCTCTTTGTTCCTCTACTAGGTTTCCGCTGTGAATCCACCTGGACCTGGACTTTTTTTGGTTGGTAGGCTATTAATTGCTGTCTTAACTTCAGATCTTGTTTTTGGTCTATTCAGGGATTCACCTTCTTCCTTTTTTAGTCTTGGTAGGGTGTAAGTGTCCAGGAATTTATCCATTTCTTCTGGATTTGCTGGTTTACGTGTACAGAGTTGTTTGTAGCAATCTCTGATGGTGGTTTTCATTTCTGTGGCTTCAGTGGTGATATCCACTTTATCATTTTTTATTGCATCTATTTGATTCTTCTCTCTTTTCTATTAGTCTGGCCAGTGGACTATTTTGTTGATTTTTTCAAAAAACAAGCTCTTGGTTTTATTGATTTTTTGAAGGTTTTTTGTGTCTCTATCTCCTTCAGTTCTGCTCTGATCTTAGTTATTTCTTGTCTTCTGCTAGCTTTGGGGTGTTTTTGATCTTGCTCTTCTAGCTCTTTCAATTTTGATGATAGGGTGTCGATTTTAGATCTTTCCTCGCTTCTCATGTGGGCATTGATTGCTATAAATTTCCCTCTAGACACTGCTTTAAATGTGTCCCAGAGATTCTGGTACATTGTGTCTTCATTCTTATTGGTTTCAAAGAACATCTTTATTTCTACCTTCATTTCATTGTTCATCCAGTTGACATTCAGGGACCAGTTGTTCAGTTTCCATGTAGTTGTGCGGTTTTGAGTGAGTTTCTTAATCCTGAGTTCTAATTTGATTGCACTGTGGTCTGATAGACTGTTCGTTATCATATCAGTTCTTTTGCATTTGCTTAGGAGTAATTTACTTCCAATTATGTGGCCAATTTTAGAGTAAGTGCAATGTGATGCTGAGAGAAATGTATATTCTGTGGATTTGGGGTGGAGAGTTCTGTAGATGTCTATTAGGTCCATTTGGTTCAGGTCTGCGTTCAAGTCCTGGATATCCTTGTTGATTTTCTGTCTCGTTGATCTGTCTAGTATTGACAGTGGAGTGTTAAAGTCTCTCACTGTATTGTGTGGGAGTCTAAGTCTCTTTGTTCATCATTAAGAACTTGCTTTTTGAATCTGGGTGCTCCTGTATTGGGTGCATATATATTTAGGATAGTTAGCTCTTCTTGTTGGATTGATCCTTTTATGTAATCTATTGATCCATTATGTAATGCCCTTCTTTGTCTCTTTTGATCTTTGTTGGCTTGAAGTCCATTTTATCAGAGACTAGGATTGCAACCCCTGCTTTTTTTTGCTATTTGCTTGGTAAATCTTCTTCCATCCCTTTATTTTGCCTCTATGTGTGTCTTTGAACATGAGATGGGTCTCCTGAATACAGTACACTGATGGGTTTTGACTTTTTATCCAATTCGCCAGTCTGTGTCTTTCGATTGGGGCATTTAAGCTGTTTACATTTAAGGTTAATATCATTATGTGCGAATTTGATCCTGCCTGTTTTGTTACTGGCTGGTTTTTTTCCCATTAGTTGACGTGGTTTCTTTGTTGCATCATTGGTCTTTACCATTTGGTATGTTTTTGTAGTGGCTGGTACTGGTTGTTCCTTTTCATGCTTAGTGCTTCCTTTAGAAGCTCTTGTAAGTCAGGTCTGATGGTGACAAAGTCTCTCAGTAGTTGCTTGTCTATAAAGGATTTTATTTCTCCTTCACTTATGAAGATTAGTTTGGCTGGATATGAGATTCTGGGTTGAAAGTTCTTTTCTTTAAGGATGTTGAATATTGGCCCCCACTCTCTTCTGGCTTGTAGGGGGTTTATGCAGAGATCCACTGTGAGTCTGATGGGCTTCCCTTTGTGGGTGACCCCACCTTTCTCTCTGGCTGCCCTTAGCGTTTTTTCCTTCATTTCAACCCTGGTGAATCTGACAATTGTGTGCCTTGGGTTGCTCTTCTTGAGGAATATCTTTGTTGTGTTCTCTGTATTTCCTGGACTTGAATGGTGGCCTGCCTTACTAGGTTGGGGAAGTTCTCCTGGATAATATCCTGAAGAGTGTTTTCCAGCTTGGATTCATTCTCCCCATTGCATTCAGACAAACCGATCAAGTGTAGATTAGGTCTTTTCACCTAATCCCATATTTCTTGGAGGCTTTGTTCATTTCTTTTCACTCTTTTCTCTCTAGTCTTGCCTTCTTACTTTATTTCATTGTGTTGATCTTCAGTCTCTGATAGCCTTTCTTCTACTTGATTGATTTGGCTATTGAAACTCGTGTACACTTCACAAAGTTCTCGTGCTGTGTTTTTCAGCTCCATCAAGTCATTTTTGTTCTTCTCTAAGCTGGTTATTCTCATTAGCATTTCCTTTAACCTTTTTTTCAAGGTTTTAAGTTTATTTGCATTGGGTTACAACATGTTTCTTTAGCTCAGAGGAGTTTGATTATCCACCTTCTGAAGCCTGCTTCTGACAATTCGTCAAACTCATTCTCCATCCTGTTTTGTTCCTTTGCTGGTGAGGAGTTGTGATCCCTTGGAGGAGAAGAGGCATTCTGGTCTTTGATGGTTTAATCCATTTTGCACTGGTTTCTTCCCATCTTTGTGGATTTATCCCACTTTGATCTCAAGGAGCCACTTGAGGATGGAGTTTGTCCCTTGTCTGACTACAGAGGTGCCGCTGGGCTGCCATGGGCTTAGTCTGGTTGCTGCATAGGCTTCCTGTGTCTTTTGTTTACACAGAGAGATTAGGCTCACCTCTGTAATGGAGAATGCCCTTCCCCCCACCGAGCTGGATCCTTCCAGGTGGAGCTAGAACTGATGTGCTGGCTGCGAAACCCTCAAGCAAGTAGGCTTCAGCCTGCTGGACTTTGTGGGGAAGGGGCCCGCCTAGCCTATTGCCTGTCTTCCTGCTTTTAGCACCCCCCCTGTCTGGGGGGCAGGTAGCTCCGTCCCAAAGGCTCTCCCAGCAAGCCAATGCATCTGCCTAGATCTGTGCTGACAATCCATGGCACCAGCCAGGGCTGCTATTCAACTCTGCACAGGTAACTCGGGTGCTTTTCAGCCCGCTGAAGATCTCCTGGTCTGTAGGTTTCAGAGGCTTTGGGTGAAGCACAGTATCTGGACTGGTGTGCCGGAGAGGGTGAGCCCCCGATCCTCTGGTCAGATGCCCTTCCCAGGTGGAGCAGTGCCTTGCCCTGCCTCGGTTTGCCCTCTTTGGGCTATGCCCACTGTCCAACCAATCTCATTGAAATGAACCTTGTACCTCATTTGAAGATGGGGAAATCACTCTCCTTCTGCATCTCTCTCACTGTGAGCTGTGCACCGGAGCTGTTTCTATTCAGCCATCTTGGCAGAATCCCACGCATTATTTGCCTTTAAAAACAATCTTTTATATAGCTTCTTAAAATATCATCATTTTAATAAACAATATGTTCTGTATGGTTGGGTATTGATTTCCAGTTCATTATTATAAATAATGTTGTAATAAAGATTTTGATATGGAGTTTCTGCCACATCCTTAATATTAGGATTCATATTTGAAGACTTTTCTTATCGAATAGCTTGAGACTGGGGAATAATCACCAGCCTGCTCTCTATGGATTGTGCAAACCTGAAAAGACTTTCCTGCTTCGTGTCACTTCATTTGAACGAAGAAAGAGAAATGCACTGATTTCATGTAGATTACTAGAAAAGCTGTCTGTAGTGCTGAATCTTCCCTTTACAGGGAAGATTCCTCAAAACCAAGACTTTTTTTTTTTCCTTATACTTTTTCTCTAAAAGGCTGTTTCCTGCATGATCTGTCTCCTCAGTTACTCTTCACAGGATTCTGAGAAGCTGCAAGAATTTGTAGGCACAAACTTGAGGCCTGGATTCATCTCCAATGTTGTGGAAAGGGACTGTATATCATGGGGCAGAGCCCTGGACCCCTCTGTACCACTTGACCAGAGCTGGGGAGAGTGGCTTCCTGAGTGTATCCATGTTGGATTAAGACCAAGACTTCCTTGCCTAGGCCAAAGTAAGCTGTGTGGTCCATTCTGTGATACTGGTCAGTTCTAATAGTTACAGAAGAATTTCCTTGCCACACTGCAAGTAACATTCAAACACACACCAAAAATTCTAAAAATAAATCACCAAGCAGCTGGGAGTGGTGGCACACACCTATAATTCCAGCACTGTGGGGGGCCGAGGTGAACAGATCACCTGAGGTCAGGAGTTTGAGACCAGCCTGGTCAACATGACGAAATCATGACTCTACCAATAATACAACAATTGGCTGAGTATGGTGCTGTGCACCAGTAGCCCCAGCTACTTGGGAGGTTGAGGCAGGAGAATTGCTTGAACTCAGGAGGTGGAGGTTGCAGTGAACCAAGATCGCACCATTTCACCCCAACCCGGAAAAAAAAGTGAAATTCTGTCTAAAAAAAAAAAAAAAAAATACCAAGCTATATAGTTTCTAATAATAACGTCTGAGCATGGAAGAAAGAATTTATAGTAGTATGCAAACTAGGATTACAACTGTGTAAAATATCTATTCATGTAAACAAAGGGAAACAGGAGAGTATAAATGGCAATTTTCTTAGGGTAGATGACCCAAAGACTTTAAAAAATAGTCTAATGATATTATTTATAGTAAATAAAATGTATATTGTCTTGATATGCTGTTATTTCTAAGTAATTTTTTTCTTAATAAAAAGCAACATGATATCCTCTCTTTTCCATTACAGCTACCATTTGATGAATTTCTCTGTCAGCAGGAGTAGCCTCTTTGTTTAAAGGAAACCACATATTAACTTTTAGTGATACATGATTTATGTTAACAATGTGGCTAGCCTTGTGTCCACGCTTTGGTTCTAGCAGCTGTGTGTACAGAATCAATTAGTCATTTGTCAATAGTAGGGCAGTGAGGTCACTGCAGCTTCTAATTTGGTCCTTTTCCTGGTGTCACAGCTTTGCTATCCTCAAAATATTTGCAGTAGGCCTTGACATCTACCTTATTTTACTGAAATACTGAAACCCAAGATGCCAAAAGTTGTCAGTAAACAAGAAAAGAAATTCCAACTTGTGACTGGAAGTCAGGTCCTGATTTCATGTTTGACAGTTCACTTGAAGCATGCATCACGCTCGCATTCACCCATCAGAAACAAAACGAACGGCATACTTATCTGTAGACATTTCTCAGAATCTAGCACTTGAACTTCCACCTTCCGTGTTCGCTGAAGGACGCCATGCGGCATGGTGGGTGCTTGAAGAAATAAGCTAAGAATCAACGAGAAGGTCTGATTCTTGGTCTGTCAGGAGGAAGCCGTGAGATCTTGGGGAATAACCTTGCATTGCAGAACCTCAGTATTTTTAATTAGGAGATGCTGGTTACGTTAGATGGCCTCCAAAAGTAGAGGCTTTTTAGGCTGCCTAGCTTATTTGCAAAGAATGATGACAAAGAATTCAAGACGTCATCCTCAACAGAAGATCCCTCTCCTTGCCATCAGTCAGCTCAGCCATCTCTGTCACAAGCGCACAGCCCTGGCTCAGGAGCAGCAGGCTCACCACGGAGCTGCTGCAGAAATAACCTGAACTGCAGGTCCTGCCCGTGCTGCATTAACAGCTGGTTCCTTATACACAAAGGAAAACGTGCTTGTCGGAAAGATGGCCTTAAAGGAATCTCAGGGCTCCTTTTTTACTTAAGATAGGAGAAACCAGGCACAGAGGTAAACCCAGACATAATTTACTTCAAAAGTACATTTCTGAATAACACAGTCAAAATAAAGAAGAAAAGAGGAGGGACTTTTCCTACCAGTATTGACATAGTATCAAAACACTGCAGTGCTGGCACGAGAACAGACAAGTGGGCCAATGGAACTGAACAGACCCAGAAGAGGGGAGGAGGTGTAAGTGGGAACTTAATATACCATAAATCAAATGGGAAACAATGGACCGTTTCATAGATTCCATTGGGGAAACTGGCTCGCTATGGGGGGAAAATCAAAATGGAACACCAGATGAAAAGGTGGATTCTAGATGTATTCCACCTCCAATTGTGAAAGGTAAAATTACAAAGTAATAGAAAAAATGGACAAGTATCTTTTTACCTAGGAATAGGAACAATAATCTTGAAAAACATTTGAAAGAACAAGTCCAAGGACAAAAATAGTTAGAATATTATGACATCCAAGTTAAAGGTTTCTGTTCAGTAAAGCACAACTATGGGTAACTGAAACATGACGAGATAAAAACAGATATCTATGGTATCTAAAAGTGACAAGCAGCAGCTTCCACTGTCTGGTACAACATATAAAGATGTTGAATATCATCCCTTCTGTCTTCAGAATGAAAAACAAAAAGCTAAACAAATGGAAAATCAACAACTTTTCTTAGGTCCATAAGAGAATTAAGGTAACAGGACAAATTGCCACATTGAAAACTAAAGAGACAACCAAGCAGATACAGAGAATCACAGCTTCCTGGGAGCAGAAGCTGTCACTGCAGCCTACAGCTAGCATATGAACTAGCTTAAGTGACAGGATCTCCTGGGGACCCAGGCTTGCTGTTACCCCTAGAAGCACCACCAGGTTATCAGGATGAAGGTAGAAAATTGTCCCCTCATGCTCTGGCAGAGGGAAAAGGAGCCAGGTTGAAACCCACCCAGAGCATTCTGTGTTCCTTGACAAAGACCTCCTGCAAGAAAAATCATCTTGACAAAGCCGAAACCACATGGGTTTTACCAGTACCTAACTAATGTGGGGTGAGGAAAAAACTCAACTCCATCCTCGTCTAGGCTTCAAAATGAGAAGAGGAAAATGCCCAACACCACATCCCTCTAGCCTTCTATCTGTCTTCAGGAAGAGAAAAAGCTGAGAAGCACTTGTGAAGGTCACAGCCTGGGGACACAGGCTCACTGAGAAACTGAGACCTGATGGCAAGTATGTGGAATTCTTCTCTTCTACTACACACTCTCCTACCACAGCAATGGGCTTCTGCATAACAACAGGATGACAATGGGGAGAGCTGAAAGTCTAGACTCTATTTAAGGGGTCTTTAGAGAAACCCAAGACAACAGGGGAGATAAAGACATGAATACTAGAAGAAATGCTGGCCTCTGACATCCAGAGCTACATTAAAGAGTAAACACAGCCTAAATCCTAGCCATGAAGACACCAAAAACCTATGTACCTCAGTTCCTTTCACCTAATACATCATTTCTATCTTTCACCAAAAATTACACCGCATGCCAAAAGGCAAAANCTTGGGAGGTTGAGGCAGGAGAATTGCTTGAACTCAGGAGGTGGAGGTTGCAGTGAACCAAGATCGCACCATTTCACCCCAACCCGGAAAAAAAAGTGAAATTCTGTCTAAAAAAAAAAAAAAAAAATACCAAGCTATATAGTTTCTAATAATAACGTCTGAGCATGGAAGAAAGAATTTATAGTAGTATGCAAACTAGGATTACAACTGTGTAAAATATCTATTCATGTAAACAAAGGGAAACAGGAGAGTATAAATGGCAATTTTCTTAGGGTAGATGACCCAAAGACTTTAAAAAATAGTCTAATGATATTATTTATAGTAAATAAAATGTATATTGTCTTGATATGCTGTTATTTCTAAGTAATTTTTTTCTTAATAAAAAGCAACATGATATCCTCTCTTTTCCATTACAGCTACCATTTGATGAATTTCTCTGTCAGCAGGAGTAGCCTCTTTGTTTAAAGGAAACCACATATTAACTTTTAGTGATACATGATTTATGTTAACAATGTGGCTAGCCTTGTGTCCACGCTTTGGTTCTAGCAGCTGTGTGTACAGAATCAATTAGTCATTTGTCAATAGTAGGGCAGTGAGGTCACTGCAGCTTCTAATTTGGTCCTTTTCCTGGTGTCACAGCTTTGCTATCCTCAAAATATTTGCAGTAGGCCTTGACATCTACCTTATTTTACTGAAATACTGAAACCCAAGATGCCAAAAGTTGTCAGTAAACAAGAAAAGAAATTCCAACTTGTGACTGGAAGTCAGGTCCTGATTTCATGTTTGACAGTTCACTTGAAGCATGCATCACGCTCGCATTCACCCATCAGAAACAAAACGAACGGCATACTTATCTGTAGACATTTCTCAGAATCTAGCACTTGAACTTCCACCTTCCGTGTTCGCTGAAGGACGCCATGCGGCATGGTGGGTGCTTGAAGAAATAAGCTAAGAATCAACGAGAAGGTCTGATTCTTGGTCTGTCAGGAGGAAGCCGTGAGATCTTGGGGAATAACCTTGCATTGCAGAACCTCAGTATTTTTAATTAGGAGATGCTGGTTACGTTAGATGGCCTCCAAAAGTAGAGGCTTTTTAGGCTGCCTAGCTTATTTGCAAAGAATGATGACAAAGAATTCAAGACGTCATCCTCAACAGAAGATCCCTCTCCTTGCCATCAGTCAGCTCAGCCATCTCTGTCACAAGCGCACAGCCCTGGCTCAGGAGCAGCAGGCTCACCACGGAGCTGCTGCAGAAATAACCTGAACTGCAGGTCCTGCCCGTGCTGCATTAACAGCTGGTTCCTTATACACAAAGGAAAACGTGCTTGTCGGAAAGATGGCCTTAAAGGAATCTCAGGGCTCCTTTTTTACTTAAGATAGGAGAAACCAGGCACAGAGGTAAACCCAGACATAATTTACTTCAAAAGTACATTTCTGAATAACACAGTCAAAATAAAGAAGAAAAGAGGAGGGACTTTTCCTACCAGTATTGACATAGTATCAAAACACTGCAGTGCTGGCACGAGAACAGACAAGTGGGCCAATGGAACTGAACAGACCCAGAAGAGGGGAGGAGGTGTAAGTGGGAACTTAATATACCATAAATCAAATGGGAAACAATGGACCGTTTCATAGATTCCATTGGGGAAACTGGCTCGCTATGGGGGGAAAATCAAAATGGAACACCAGATGAAAAGGTGGATTCTAGATGTATTCCACCTCCAATTGTGAAAGGTAAAATTACA